CATGCGCGATTCTGATTCCGGGTGCTTCAAAACGTGTATTTCCGTCAAAAACGTGGGGGGTCATTTTTTTTACCTCAACCCAAACTAAGGAGTGTCAAAATAGTTGAGTTGTAGTCTAAACTTTCTATGATAAATGCCATTAAATTGAAAGAAAATTTACGTTTGTGATTATAGCGAAATTTTAATATACATATGATGAATATTTGATGCGGAATATGTGCCGTTTTGCGTATTAAGATGACATTTTTGCGTTTAACATTCAAGTATGTCAAAAAAATTGGAGGGTCGAAAGCACAATTATTGGTTTCACATAAACCAAAATAGTTTTTTTAGATACTTTTTCCAAAAATCAGAAAAATACGTTTATTTAATTTGTTTCTCAGCAACCATAGAAATATAGACCTAGCGGTTTGCATATGTTTTTCGGTATGCCCCTCCTAACTGTTCTACTCCAATAAAACATTACGATTTCGACAAAATATTGTGTCTGGGATTTCTGATATAGGCGACATCTGTCATTTTTTACTCAAACTTAAAATGGTAGAATCAAAATTTGAAAATTTTCGCTCGCTTAAGAGAAATGGGGGAAAATTAAAAAATGTCAATTTCAGAATGACCCTATATTTTCTCTTAAAAGAGGTACAGAAAAATGTATTATACCATGATTATTTAATAATCTGTCATTCTCCCAATAAGTATTTTTTGCCACTTAACAAGTTCTTGGATCTAATCTCATTTTTGTTAATGGAACACTGTAGATTTTAACCTAAACGGAGCATTTTAAATTGTTTTTTTCAAAAGTATAACACACAAAAATTGTAAAAGATTTCAAATACACTGTGTTCAAGATAAAGATGTCTATTTCCGAAGCCATAGAAGATACGACTATGGTCAAATTAGAGAAAAGATGCGCAATTAAAGAGGTAATATCAAAGAATACTAGTTACTCTTTGGTAATATCATGCGTTAAAGAAAACCGAAAAATTCCGATTGCTTCCGAAGATATGTCCGAAAAACCGAAATTTACCGATTCTGTTGTTATTTGGACAGATCAAAAAAATTTTAAAAAACACTTTTCCATTGCCACTTTTTGAGCTCTACAAAATATTTTTCAGATATTTTCAACACAGCGTTTCGTTTCCGAGAAATCATCAACTTGATTTATTTATATGGCCCGTAAAAAAGTACATACTGTATTGAGTAGCATTTTTGATTACGAATATAACGATGTACGGCACAGTAAAAGAGCACTGTGCGTAGGGACACCATCCTGTTGAAAACAGCAGTTTTCAATTTTTGTTTTTTTGTGTGCCATACATCGTTTTATTGGGAATAAAAATGCTACTCAATTTTACGGGCCATATAAATAAATAAAGTTGATGATGATTTCTCTTAAACGAAACGCTGTATTCAAAATATCTCACCGGTGTCTGGTAGAGCTCAAAAAGTGGCAATGAGAAAGTGTTTTTTTATTTTTTGTGTCTGCTCAACATCAGAAAAAAATAAAAACAACACCAACAAATTTCGGTAATCGCAATTTTCTGGTTTTCTTTAGCATGATAATGACTCTTTATTCGCGCATCTTTTCTCTAATTTGACCATCGTCTTATCTTCTATGCCCTTGATATTGTAGATCCCCATGATAGACATCCTTATCTTGGACAGTGTATATATATTAAAAAACCTTTATTTTAATTTTTTGGCTCACTTGAACCTTTTTTTGAATTTTTTTAAATCTTTTGCATGACTTGAATCTTTTTCTTAATATCATGGTGTGCTCTATTTTTGAAAAGATAATTTGATATGCTTTTTTTAACTCTACAGGATGTTGTATTTTGTATTTTGTATAAACCATTTTTCTGTATCTCCCTTACGTATAGGGTCATTGCGAAATTGACCCAAAAAACCCCTTCATTACTTTTTAGTGCATTTTTTAAGGATTAAAAAAATGTGCTATTTGCGTTTTGTCCTAGAGTCCTGGAATTTGCCTATACCTTGAAGGCGTGAAAGACGATTTCACTGCCTAAACGCCCCCCCCCCCCCCC